CCCCTCGGCCCCGGCTCCCGCCGTGCTGTAACGCAGGTAGATTTATTTTTTGTATACGTTGAAATACAATTTTTATATATTTTAAACATCGAAGGCTTATATTCAATAATATTAATAATACAAATCAACCTAAGATGTAACTGTCATCAGTGATATTAATGCTCCTTATATAACGACAGGTAATAAGTCCCGGATGGTTTCTAAAATCACAAATTAGTTTTTGTGCAAATTGCAGATAGAGGGTATTAATGAATTCAAGCCCTCGATATTTCACATTTTTATATTTGTAAGTTATTGGAAGCAGGGATGCCAACTTGGCTCAAACCGTGCCATTTGTCCCTATTTTACTTCAAATGGCACTTAATTTTTCAATTTGGCACAAAGGGCCAAAATGGCACTTTTGTAAAAAAAATAACGTTTCAATACATTTTTGTGAAGTCCTTTGCGTGCACTTCTTTTTCTCAACTAAAATTTTCTAATTTATAAAGGCTATTCAACTGGTTTATCTTATTTTATCATTGCACTTTTGTTTGGAAAATATAGCTTTAGTTTATTGCTAAATGTGAATGATTAAAAGGAATGACACCTTTTTTGGCACTTTTATTTTTCTATTTGGCACATTTTGGCACTTTTTTATCCTCAATATGGCACCTCATAACTAAGGATAGTTGCCAGCCCTAATTGGAAGATTTCTGCTGTGTTTTGGAGCAACAACTTGTATGCAGTAAAAAAGCATATAATTTGTGTTTCAAAAGTGTGTGAAAACCAATCAATTAACTTATATGATCTCGGTTCCGATATTAAATAATCAATAATTGTTTAAACCCGCATTTTGGCACATTGGCTCCTTGAATGTGCCATCTAATAAATAGTGTCGTCATTCTCCTTAGCTGGTTTTAAATTATGTCGTTACCAATTGCTGGTGGAGACATGAATACAGTGTAAGAAAATTCTTTCTCCATAATTGTTTCCTTGTTTCCACCTTAAGGTGTTCTTACACGATATGTTTTTGCATGTGTACATGCCACTTTTTACATATGGAAATGCCAACGTATCGTGTATAGGCAAATTAGATTTGTTTCTGTACAAAGCATATGCACGTACATACGAAATAGAAATGTTTCTATTTTCATCTGACACACAGATAGAAACATCTAAGGTTACTTATTTCGTTTTCAAAGATCGTATTTTTAAAAAGTTAAATAAAGACTGTGAATTTGACAGACATACGCAATTACATATGTATTGAAAAAGTCACATTTACAGATGCAAATACATATCGTGTAAGAACACCTTTAGACATTCCGAATTCGTTCAAAATATGCTAATTTAAAACACAGAATTCTTTCAGTGTTCCTCCGAGGTTTTGGACATGGACTGTTTCTTCAATTTAATAGTGTTCGCTTTATTTTTGTGGAAACGAAACATAATTTGCAAGTTATGGATCATTTCTACACTCTTTCTTCAAATATTACTCGTATTCCAGCTGTGCGCAGGCGTTTAGTTTTTCGCATCGTGTTTTTACATATTCGTAATTTAATTTTTTTTAATAAAATCAAATGGTGGTAGTTCATGATTGTGTGTGGATTAATATCACAACACTGAGGATTTGGCAATAACCTTTTCCATCTATTAAAAAACAACACTTACGGGGCAATGTTTATTGTAAGAACAACATTTTTTTCTATGAATCGACATACTTTAAGCATTGTTGACGCCATTTCCATTTGAATGAGGAAATAGCGTCAATGACTTTATTTCCAAATTTTTGTTGACTTTATTTCGCTTTTGAAAAGGTAATAATGTCAATTGACTTTATTTCGTACCAGGGTGGGAAATAAAGTCAATTGACCTTATTTCCATTGACCTTATTACCTGTCACCCTCTTAGCCACTTGCAACTTGCACTTTGTTATTCTAAAATTTAATTATCTATAAAACTGCGTACTCAAATTATTTACAAAAACCCAGAACTAAAAAAATAGTTTTGGTGCACATTTTTTTATAACAATTCAAATTACTATTTTTTTGATTTTCACAAGAGAATCGAGTTTCTTAAAAATTCCAACTTTTTCTGCACTTTGCACTAAAAAAATTAATACAAACAAACAAAAATTTAGAAATCGGGCTCAGCTGGTCTCTTGCAAATTTGAATAGCTTTCATTAAACAAAAAATAATGAAATTGAGTGAAAAATGAAGGCTCCAGTGAATTGTGAACACAAAATGCCAATTTTGAACCACTGTGCGCCGATCGATAAATTATGACGACCAAATGTGAGGCAGTGAAACAATTAACGCTTGATAATTAACTTTTAAACTGTTTTGCATTGTGAAAAAGCTACTAAAGTTCTTTTATTTTTTGAAGTTGGAAATTTATCTTGTATCGAATTAACTGCCTTATTATGTATCACAAACGATAGGCAACACGAACGATTCAGACGACAACGTGTCTGAATGCGATTTTATTACTCTATCGGTCGTCTTCGTCATCTCGGTTGCCTTTAGACCGGCTAGAATGATGCCGCCGGACTAATTTTTGAAGCGTTTCTCTGCAGACGAATCGTTCGCTCGCTTTGTGGCCATATTTGTGGAAGCCGAATACGGGACAAAAAATAGTTTTCCAAATTTGTTTCACAAAAACTTACAGATCTGAAAGAACGTCCTTATAGTAACATCCCAAATGTGTGGGATACTTCTCTGGAGATTTTTACCCCGCAAAATTTGTTAAAAAAATCGTGAAATTTTAGTGTAATAATATGCAAAGTGTAGTTAATTTTTGGATTTTATTTTTGTTGGCGGTATTACGCATTTTTTTTCATACAAAGTACATATGTTCGACAATTATTAAAAAGAGAAGCAAAAGAGCAGCACTTTCCACTTATAATCAATTTAATCAGCTACAAAACTGACGAGTCGTCTGACGATATCGTGTTTTCGATTGTCTTGCTTCATGAAAATTAGAGACTATTTCAGCGGACACGACCTATCTTATGGGATTTTGTGTTAACTAAAACTCACCACCGCAGGACCGCTTTTATTCCCGTTTCCTCTTTCACTTTTTGTCCTCTCTCTTTCTTTCCGTCTTCTGCATCCAACTTCAACACGTAACGCCCTGTCAAAAATAAAAATTCGATCCAGATTTTTGACAGTTACAATTACAATTTAGGGACAGCAGTAAACGCCTCTTATTTTAAAGAGAATATTTAGAGAGAAATTTTAAAAAATCTATTCACAAATATTTTGCAGACCGCTAGACTCACCTTTGCTTAGCTACCTTATAGCAATAAAGTATAAGATTAAAGATTAAAATGTGCTATAAAAAATAAAAATAACAAAATCTTTGTCACTATTAATTGAACCCGAGAGCAACAAAATCGAAAACCATCCATTCAGCCACATTAGCTATTGACACCAAAGTGCAACCTCTACCACATTCGTGGTAGATCTACCACATATTTTTAAAAATTTGGGTGTCTACCACTTCTACCACACAAGGCTTAAAATCTAGCACATTTTTAGGCAGAACATATGTTTACAATTTTCACATACATAACTCTAAACTCAATTCTTATAAGAAATATAAAAATTAATAAAAAATTTTTTAAAAAGTACATCATAAATTTTGCTTTAAATTTTAATATTTCAAAAATCCGCATATTTATATTTGCTAAAGTATTATGCAATGGAAAAATAATTTGGCCGATTTTTTGCATAAATCAATCTGTAGGATTTTTCTCAAATAACTCTAGAATTTCAACTCAATTCTTATAAGAAATATATAAATTATTCAAAAAATTTTTAAAAAAGTACATCATAAATTTTGCCTTAACTTTTTAATATTTCAAAAATCCGCATATTTATATTTGCTTAAGTATTGTGCAATGGAAAAATTATTTGGTCGATTTTTTTTCATAAATCAATCTGTAGGAAACTAATGTGATACTTGTTTTTGCATCAATTGCGTTGAATCTGAACTAGCACTTATATTTCCCAATCGAATTTTTGACTTGTGCCTCTTTTGACGACAGTGTGCGATATGTATACCCAATAAAAATATGAATTGGAAAATCTACCACATCTTATTCAAATCTACCACATTTTTTTGCGGATTCTACCACACTAAAATAAAAAGGGGTTCGCACACTGGTTGACACACCAGGGAAAAATTAATTCTTGAGTTTATTTTCAAAATTTGTATTTTATTAAAATTTCAAATATCGAAGTTTACCAAAAACAATATAAGTAGAGTTCACTATTTAATGCGAAAATGCGAAAGACAAAAATTAGCGTTTGTTTTGTTGCTTTGCTGTGCGTTTGTGCGAAACGGCGCCAAAACGGTGCCATATGTTTGTTGTAAAAAACTGCCGATTTTCGCACTTTCGCTCAAACGCCCCCATTTTCGCATCAAAGATAAGAGTGATTTTCAAACTGTTGAAGACACTACAATAGTCGACACGATAGTAAGTAACAAAAATACATGAAAATACATGAATCAGTGTTTTGACGACTTCGTTTTGCCAATATCGTTTGAATGACTATCGTGTCAAAGTTACATGATGCATGCCCGGTTTATGGAGAAAATTACAGTCATATACATACCAACATCCCTTAAAACTGGCTCATACGCATGCCATTTTAATGAGAGGTTAAAGCTTCAAAAAAAACGGACACCGAATACGGGACAAATACAGGACACTAAAAGAAATACAGAACATTTGGCGCCCCGCATAAAATGAATAAATTACCAGGACAATGGGTCAAAAAAGAGGACTGTCCGTATAATACAGGACGGATGGTCACCGTAGTGATACATAATAAGGTTGTAAGAGAAGGTTGAAAAAAAATGAGTTTGAGGAAATATTTTATTGTGTGTTGGTGATGGTAAAATATTTTATTCAGTTTTGTTTGTAATGATAACGATAAATATGCATCCGTTTGGTTAGTTTTTGAGTACTTGGCTTTTTATTAATAATTCTCGTATACCTTTACCTTTTTTATAGATATTGCACAAAACAAATCGATTTTATACAAACGGCTACTCACATCACCAAATAGCGTCGGATTATGTCATTACGTTTGTAGACTCTCCGCCGAACTCTGAGGAATCGTGGACAGGTACGTCTTTTCATGTTAAAAAAATTGTTACACTTAATTTTAATTTGATATTAAGATTTTCCTTTTTAAACTGAATTTGTAGAAACTGAAATTTTAGATCAAACTAATTTTATTAATCCGAGCTCCGCTCCCAATAGAAAACCCTTTTATTTTCTTATTAACTTACACCTCGAGCCCTAACCGCCAAAATAAAACCTTGACGACATTTTTATGAAAATTTTCTTTTTGATGCAGAAATGCATCTAGATGCTCAAGGAGCACTTCTGCGTCCAAAAGAAAATATCGCTTACTTTATTTTGGGGGATAGGCTCGATATATGTATGTACCAGCAATAATGTTAATGTAAAAATGAATACATTAATTTTTGAAATTTAATGCAAATAAAAATTTCATTGCATTAATTCTGAAAAACATAATGCTAATGAAATTTGTTTTCATTAAATTATCCAAACTAAGGCTAATGAAAAATTTTAATGCATTCAAATTTTTAATAATTTGTCCAGTTTGCATTATTAAAAAGCATTAAATTTTTTTCTAGTGAAATATAAATAACCTTTTTTGGAAGAACATCGTATAATTATTAATAATTTTTTCAGCTTCATACTATTATGTTTATTTCTAGAAAAATTCTTGTAAACATTGTTAGATGTTTTATGAAACAAAGCAATGAGCGTGCAACTCAGTGTGCTTTTTTAGATTTTTATGTTGATTGTTGATGCATATCAATTACATCATGTACACGACTGAAGACCCATTCTGATCTAAATCAATAATAAACCGTTTTTTAGTTCCATTGGACAATGTTATTTTACCTATTTGACGACAAATGCCATTGAATTTGTCATATTGAAAACCAGCCTTAACTTCCGCCACTATCTTTTTGACATCGAAGTTCTACGATCTTCTCATATTAGCTTATTCTGCGATTGTATTTTACAGCGATAAATACTTGAGCAAACGAGTGTTCGAGAAAACATTGCCTGCGTTTTCGTTCGTAAGAGATCGTATGCAAAGAGTTTATGTATACACATTAGGAGCGTTCCTTATCTCCCAGAAATAGTCAGAAAAAGTCCGAAGTAGTCAGATTTAGTCCAAAAAGCGTTCCTTAACTCGGAAATGACAGCAAAAATGAGAGAGCAACCCTCGGTGAGAGTGACTCTCATCAGTCCGAAGTAGTCAGATTTAGTCAGAAGAATTTTTTCTGGCAAAATCCTGAAAAGTGTCAAACTCAACTGAATTTAAATTAACGGAAATTAAAGAATACGCAAAAAGTGAGAATAATCTAAAAAGTAGAAAAAGTGAATTGAAATTGGAAGGAGGCAAAAATAATGGATATAGTAAGTGTTTATTGTGCTTGTGCTTGTGTGAACGTGTTTTGTACATACATTTCCATTCTTATTTCATGTTAGCTTTGTTGTTGCCATTCTTTGGACTAAAAATTTGGCTTTTTGCGTTCCTTTACTTTTCCTGTTATTCTCTTTTAGTGAGCGCATTTTGCTTACGCTCTGGCATTTTGACATTTTTCAGATTTTAGTCCAAAAAGATAAGGAATCAACCTATTGCAAACGAACGAGCGTACGAAAGCGATCGTCCGTGGCAAGAGCGCTGGTGCAGAAAATCATAGCGCGCACTCTCTCGCCAATGAAAACATAGGCAATAGTAGTGGGTAACTCAGCACTGTGCTGAGTTACTGTGCTGACTCTTAGAACTGTGCCGCACGCTCAGACTCACCTCTGAAAAAATTTGTAACTCAGTAACTCAGTTTATGTGCTGACACTATATAGCTCAATATGCTAAAGAGCCGATATGGTAACTCAGTTGATGTGCTGACACTGCATAGCTCGGTGCGGCTTGCATTGTTTAGAACTGTGTCGATGTGGTAACTCAATTGATGAGCTCACACATTCACACAATACGATCTTCCAAAAAGTACTATAATAGATGGCATCACTAGACTAACCATCAATTGAATATACGACTACTAAATTTAAAAAGAAGCAAGGCGAATAGCCAAGTTATGCATACTTGCACTGCTATACCATACCAAAACCAAACAGAATTCTACATGTGAAGTGCTATGCGTTGGGTAACCGCTTACATGCATAGCCCATTTAACAGATTCTTATGTGACAACTCTCAAGCAAAACTAAGTAGGGAATTATTTTGCAAATGAACTCACCAGTTGAAATCAGCTTTCTAAAATTTTGCCGGCCAGCTACGAACAGAAGCTAAGGATAACCTTTTCTAAATCGATTTCGATTACTAACATCATCAATAATTTCGATGTACATACCAATTGTGCGATAGCACACTTGTGCCAGCTCACTGTGCTGACTCATTAAAGTGAGTTGGAGTTACTGAGTCAGCACACCAAAATTTACAGAGTTACCCACCCTTAATAGGCAATGCTCTCGCTAACAATCGTTTGCTCAAGTATTTATCGCGGTAAAATACAATCGCAAAACGAGCTAATATGAGAAGATCGTATTTTTAATCGTTCGCGATCGTTCGTTGGTAGAGTGTGGGTACACAAATATTTGAATTTAGTATATTTTGATACGAACGAAGGCAGGTTATTCGCTTTTTTGATATAAAAATGGGCAAAGTATCGAATATTGACTAGACAAAACTTGTTACATATAATAAAGACACAAATTTTTCGAAGTGCCTTTTGTGCGAAAAACAACTTAAAGACTACATATTAGGAAACATTAAAAGACATTACGAAACTATACACAAACATAACTTTAATGAAAGCGTTCCATCTACAAGCGACAATAACGTTTCCAAACGCCGAAGTTCTAACCAATTTGGTCTAAAATTAAATAAAAAAAGGTTTTTTAAAGTGTTGTGTAGGATTGGTAACCGTGAAAAACATTCCCTTTCGACTTTTCGATGGAGAGCTTTATTTCAAGCAAATAATTGGACCCTATGAAAATCAATTTAGTTTACAATTAAATTCAAAAAATATTGTTGAGCATATAAAGCTGTTCGCAAATAAAATAAAATATCTTTTGAAAAAAAGTTTGTCCAAGAAAATGTTAAGCTTAAAAGTCGATGTAGCTACCAGAATGGGGAAGAGCATGTTGGGAATAAATATCCAAAATATTAAAGATTTTAAAATTGTGATAAACACAATTGGCATCATGATTCAATATTACAAGGTTGGATAACCTGGCAGTTGTCTCGCTCCCGCATTCTGCCTTAGCGTGTGTTGCCTTCTTTTTTGATTTATAAAAACTACTACTAAAATACAAGGAGAAATATTGTCTTCGTATACAAAGTTCAACAGGCAACCCTGCCGATATTTTCATCGATTGTTTCGAGGAAATTCATTTTCTTATTGAGCAAATTCAAGTAAGTAAGGCAAAAAAATCAAAAATAATGGGTATATTTTGAATTACAACAACAATTTACATATTTATTTTGCAAAAAGTAGTATCCCCGTATCCATCCACGTATGGTAGTACAAATATTAATAAATATATTCTCTTGTGAAGGTCAGGATCATTTGGGTGTCCGTCCACGTTTGCTGGTGCATGTATTTTTACCACTGCAGCCTTTGGGTTGATCAAGTGCAGCATTTGCATATATACAAGTAAGTATACCACTCCATAAAAGCGAAAGTGGAAATATTAATAAAGGTATTTTCTTGTGCTGATTGTGACTGATTGCAGAAAAAAGTACACAACATAAAAAAAATTAACATTTTTAAAAACGAAATGTAATGTATTGAAGACATATTTTTAAAGTTTAACCGATATAATGATTAACAAGACTGATTGGAGAAAAAAGTAAAAAACATTCCACAAAAATTAGATTTTTAAATAATCAAATGTAATTAAATTGCGATATTGAAGATCTAACTTTTAAATGTAACCAATATAATGATTAGTAAGACTGATTGGAGAAAAAAGTAAAAAAATTACTAAAAAATTTAAATTAAAACAAAAAATGTAATTCAATTTAAGATATTGAACATGAAATCTTTAAATGCAACAAATATACTACTTTTTAAAAAATTAATTTATATGCATTAAATCAATTGCATTTTTACCATTTGTATAATTCTTCATATAGTCCCTTTGAATAAAGGATTTGTTTGAATTCCACTAATTTTGTTAAATATATACTGGAATATAAATTAAACCAAGGTTTATTTTGAATATTTGGGAATATTTCTTCAAAGGCTTCAAAGATTTATCTTTGGCAAGAATTTTATGTGAATATCTATTTATTTCATTTTTAGTATTTATGTGGCCATAAAAAATTAATTCATTGTCTATTGTGTAGATCAGTGGAATCTTCTTTATATATTTAATTCAATTTGTATACAAAAACGCATTTCAGCACTACCAGACTACTTACTTTTCCTACTACCCTTACACAAAAGGGGATAAAATTGTGACCCGCTTCTCTTTCCTTCTTAAATGCAACCTTACAAGGCAGTCGATTGACACAAATGTCAATATTTATCCAACCTTGTATTATTGAATCATGATTGCCATGATACAATTGAAAAAGAGGCATACAGCACATTTTTTAAAAGAGGAAATATTAAAATGCTTGCAACAATTCGATATTGATCTTACACAAATATATTTAACTACTTCGGACAACGGGGCAAACATGTTAAAAGCTTCAAAACTACTTCAACAAGACATGATAGATTTACAAAATGATGAATGCGAAACGACTTCAGAAAATGAGAATGATGACTACGAATTAGTACACAATCGCTTGAATTCGGTACTGGCAGTCGTAAGATGAGCCGCGCACACAATTCAATTGGCGGCATATGATTCTTTCAAGGAAATGCAAAATAAACTGGAGGAGTGCAGGAAAATTTAGGGCTAGCATAAGAAGCTGTATCAACTCTGCGGATCTACGTTTGCCACCAATTGATAATATAACTCGATGGAACTCAACATTTGAAATGATAGAATCCCTTTTGAATTTTAAACAGCATATTAATGGAAACGATATGGGATTTTCTATTG